CTTTTATGGCATGTCGCTTAGCAACAAAAGTATAACCTAATATTGTTGTTAGTCTAAGTACTGAAAGTATAATATGAAATGTATAGAGAACAAAACTGGAAAAATATTTGTTGATTTTATTAATTTAGAGTCTCCTTTGATTAAAGAGTTTTTTTTTAAACGAACGTTGGTAATATAACAGAAAATAACTGAATTTAAAATCGATTTAAGTTTAAAATTGAATCGATATTTTTGCTTTCATGATAAATTTTATGCACTTGGCTCTAGGCTAGATAATCTCACACTACGTCTTATTTTAGGCTTATCATAGCAACACTCACTATACTTATAAGGTTTAACGGCCCCCTTCCACCCTCGTCACTAAAATCGTAATGAGCAGACAGTAATCAACCTATTATATTTGGATAAATGCATTTTGGCTTTTATGACTCCTTCTATTTCAAGAAATCAAGCGTAACGTGACGTGGCACACATTGGCTTTTATATAGGTTAGATTGCAAACCTAAAAAATAGGTAAATCAACTTATATTATCATATTATTTCCGACTAAGCTTGAAATATGTATATATATTATTAATCTGTTGATAATGTGCCTCATACTCACTGAAGTTTTACTACTGGATCCTGTAGATGTTTCACTGGTCGTTTGCTGTGGGTCGTGCATAGAGGAAGAACGTTCGTCCACGTAGTCAGAAGGAACCACGGAAAGTGACATGCGGCTTCCAACGTACTTATGTTTCGTTTTATTCTTTCTGTACTTCCTAACACGTGGAATGAGGATGAGAAGAGCACATAAAACAACAGCGCTGCAAAGAGCCAAGAAGATCAAGGCAATACATCCTTCTCCACAGGTTGTAGTATCGTCGTCTCCTGTAGACGAAAAAATGAAAGCAATACAATGTAATAATTGCAGTCTTCTCTCGGCTTTGCCTACTTATGCTATGCAGCTAGGGCCGGATTTAGACTCTTCGAGGCCCCTATGTAATACTGTGATGCCGGAGGCTCCCTTCGTAGGGTGATTCAAAATTGAGACTCTCATGAAATTGCATGGGTTGTACCCCATTTAAATCCGATACTGTACACAGAGAACATAAAGCACTGATAAAATAAAAAATCACATTGAAAATAAGTTTGACACAGCCATTTGTATATAAATTGTTTATTTTATTTTACTAAAAACTTTCGTTAAACAAGTAATTTTATTATATACTAGACTATAGCCCATCAGAAATGACGAGGTAAGTCCATAGCCTCATATTCCATAGCTAACTGAAATAAATAAATTTTGCGAAATCAAGCATGGCCAACAAAGAGGCAGAAAAGTGCAATCGAGGAAGTCAAACGTCGGTAAATTCCTTTGTGACACAATCAAAATTAAGATCATTCAAGAAATGAATTCGTGGCGTATGCATAGAATAATAACTGACAAAAATAAATTAGATTAACAACTTCTAATATAAAGCCAATACGTTTTGGTAACAACAATGGCTTTTATGTCATGTCACTTAGTAACTAAAATATAACCTACTATTGTTGTTAGTCTAAGTACTGAAAGTATAAAATAAAATGTACAGACAACAAAACTGGAAAAATATTAGTTGACTTCTTAATTTAGAGTCTCCGTTGATTAAAGAGGTTTATTTTTATTAAAAACGTTGGTGAAATAACAGAAAATAACTTAATTAGAAACGATTTTAGTTTAAAATTGAGTTAATATTTTTTACTTTCATGATAAATGTTATGCACTTGGCTCCAGGCAAGGTGATCCCACAGTAATTCTTTAGGCTTGGTATACCAATACTCACTACACTTATATGGTTTCACGGCTCCCTTGCATCTCCGTTACTAAAATCGTAATGGACAGACAGAATTTGAACTATTCTATCTGAGTAAATGCATTTTGACTTTTATGACTCCTTCTATTTCAAGAAACAAGCGTCACGTGACACACACTGGCTTTTATATAGGTTAGATTAGAGTCAAATGAAGTGTTACTTGCACACAGCTGTAATAAATAAAATAGGAGGTTATTAAATTGGTGCCATTTCTTGGCACAGCTCAAACATTAAACTTAGAATAATATAAAGTTTTATTTTACAGATGTTTGACAGGTCTTTATTTTTTATTAGAACATTAGCCTACGCTATAGTTGTTCATGACATACAGAGTTGAGTACGTTTGAATATACAAATCAGTAAGTAGCATAACTACCACAGTTGATTTAAATTATCGATTGTGCGGAATGTATAAGAACTACATTTTGACATTGTTTGGTGTTCTATAGGTGATGTGGTGCCATTGAAACTCAGATCATAAAGATGAGATCCGATTGTGGACTTAGAATTTCCAAATCTGGGATACCCTTCGTACTTAATTACCTTGGAAAGGAAAGGAATATGATCACCTGCGATACCATGACCATCCAGAATGAGACCTACAACAAGGTGTACCCTAACTGTGGTAATCAAAGGGAGACGTCTTACAACAGGTTAAAATACACGAACACAAATGTCAGTGGCAAATTCTGCCCATGTGCCCTCGGCAACGGAATACAATATAATCGAAAAAGGATCTCTTTCTGGAAACGAGGCAAACAAAGTATCGGCTCACCAAGATAACGTTTCCAGTCACTCCTCTCATCCAACCATTGCATTCCTCAAGAAATTGGAGACTGAAACAAGTATTCATGTTATTCCATACGAAGACGTACCAGTCAAGCCATCATATGCAAAGCTTATGGATTTCTGTACGATAGGATTATTGAAACAAGTGCTTGGAAATCGTCCTACTCGTACACTACACGGATTATGGTCAGCCTGCAGAGAAGAGTAGACATGATAGCCTTATGGCGGATCCCTTTGCAAAGGAAAATAGACTGCAAAGCTACTGTCGAGATGCACGGTCGTCAGATAAAGCATGATAGGACGTGGCAACATAGACTTTAATAACGTGATGAGGTTCAAAAGTCATTTCAATATAACGTACTTAACCTTCTGATGGGGAAGAAGTATACTTACATATCATGATAATTAAACAATAAAGTAAAAATTAAGTACTTAATAGACAAGGAGCTCTGAAATAAAAAAACATAAGCAAGCTGTAGAATGCTGTTTATTTTGTATTATTTAATTTTGGGTTTATATTGGTATTTCAGTGGAACTGTTGTATTTTTTGAACTAAAGATTTCTGAATGAAGTATTTAATATAAATAAATACTCACTTAAAATGTGTCATACACAAAAAAATTACTGCAAAAGAGAAGACTTTATTAATCTATTAGGTTAAGAAGAGGAATGACAGAATGAAAAGATGAGATCTAATCATTAGTACATCAGAAAATGCTGTAACATTTTACATTTGTTGTCTTTAAAGATTTAACTATTTTGTTTCTGATAATCACATTGTAATAACAGTGTAAGAAACAACATTATTAAACTTAAAATAGGGGCGTTGTTTCATTCGTATCAAAATTCTGGTCACGGGATATATTTAAACTATGCTGTTCATGGCAATAAATATCACATACGTAAAACTACAGATATGTGAAACAAAAAAGTTAATAGCATGAAAATTTCATATCACGGTAGTTGTTAAGTTTAGTCATTTCAATGGATTGGTCTTAAGGATGGATATCTTTGATATTAGTTTAATAACATAATAATTTCATATTTTAAAAACTAATTCAGCAAACGTTGAGGTGAGTAGTCGTTCCACGATGGTTATTATCACGGTAGTTGTTAAGTTTAGTCATTTCAATGGATTGGTCTTAAGGATGGATATCTTTGATATTAGTTTAATAACATAATAATTTCATATTTTAAAAACTAATCCAGCAAACGTTGAGGTGAGTAGTCGTTCCACGATGGTTATTATCATGGTAGTTGTTAAGTTTAGTCATTTCAATGGAGTGGTCTTAAGGATGGATATCTTTGATATTAGTTTATATTCTACTCTAAAATATAATTAATGTAGTACAAACCAGACACAAAATAACTATTGTCTTGGTTTTCCATTTCCGTTCCAACATCATTTGATGTATCCGCTTCCTTTGACGAGATATCTTGTTTTTGTTGACGAATATGATCACTTGATTTCAAAAATCTACTTCCGTTTGTTATTTTACTGTCCTTGATTTCTCTGTCAGGCCAGCATGAGCAGATCTCCGGAGTTAAGCAAGTGCAAGTACCAACTGCCGTCTCAATACCAGTTTTATTGTTGTTCGATAAAGCAAAACCTCCTTCAAGATTTTCTTTAAAGAAAAGAAATCCAAAAAGCTGAAAGTTCAGATTGTTATGAAAGTTTAGAGAAACTGTAGTTTCTATAATTAATAGAATTTATAACCTCAAAAATATTTCAGTACAATTAATTTGTAATGTATACAACCTATATAAAGCGGTTATAAACTTTAATTTAACATGAGAAAAGTGGCACTATAATGCATTAAATACATCCTTTACGGTAATTAAAATCACAGATTAGCTTAATGTAAATATAGAATATGTTGTTGATTAGTCATCAGAGACTCGTTGTGGACTTCATTGTAAATGCAAATGTATTTAGATTATATCATTTCTCCAAACTAATACCAGAAGGTTTTATTAAAACCAGTAACTATTCAAAAGTGTTTGATAATTTGAAAATTCAGACAACTGGTATTGGTATTTTTTATTCAGAATAACTCATTTACCTGTTCAGAAGGAGTATATTAATACTTGTTCTACGAGTACAGAGTATTACATAAAATCGTGCTAAAGAATTTGTGAGTACTGACTAAAAATACTTTAATTCCTAAAAGGTTTCGAAAATATTACAACATAAGTACCAACCAGAACAGTCTTGCGGACAAATATGATTATTAATTTTTTCCAATTCGTCGCAGATACCATCTGGGCAGATGTTTAGATCAGGACTGCACGTAGCATACATAGTGGTTGGAGAGGATCCATAGTGATTTTCTCGCCATAAGCATTGACCTCTAGCGGTTCCTATTCCACAAGAGGCGAGGCACATATCCTTTTCACCATTTTTCGCACAAAAGTCTGTTGAGTACCAGAGAAAAAGCATCTATCACACAGATTTTATGTTATAAAAGTGAGAGTTGTGTAATTAATATTTTCTAAGATCATTATGTAAAGACAAGTTCGTTTTAGAAAAGCCATACAATATATTAATATAATGATATTGGTTTAAAAAAAGAACTACTTAAAAGGCAACTTTAGGTTTTTGTCCATCTTGAACTTACCGCAATCGTTGAACTTGTGCTTCTGACCTGTGACAAAAAGATAAAAAGTATTTAGTCTCACGACTCAAAACTGAAGTAGATTAGTTGAGTTTTTAGTTTTAGATTTGGCAACGGTATAACTCAATTTTCTAGTAACATAAAATGTACTAATTATAGTTTTAAATTGTTTTATTATTTTTCCAAGAATAATCAGCCGAAAGTTTATTTGCTTCTCGTCTGCCAATTTAATCCAATTTTTCTAAATTAAAAATAATAGAGAAGACTAAAAGAACCAGAGTAACAAACAAATCAAATCATAATCGAAACCACTCTGGTGGGTTTCCTTTTATTCTGTCATAGAGGAATTTCTAATACAGCATGCAAAAAACAAGTATTTGTTAACGATTATACAAAATACTTGTTCAGTAACTTTGACAAAAGCAAACAAATTATACATTAAAATAAATAATGTAAAATCTAATAGTCATTTTAAGTTTTTACAATCATAGTTTATATTTTGTTGTGGATGTCGAGGATGGATGCATTTTTTGCTCAAGCAAAAATACCACTATAATGAAAAAGCTCGCTTTTGTAGCTTTTTATGCTCTTTCATTCCAAAAAGAGTACAGTGTGGTTCAGCTATCCAGGTAAATCTAATGATCGTCTTTTCAATTCATCGTTCTCTATAATCGACTTACCTGACACATTGATGAAAGTTACAAATTTCCCGAAAGTGAAATGTTTAGCTTATCGTTGTATGGGTTTTGTTAACACATAAAAACAACAGCTATAAAAAAATATCATAAAACACTTTACACCTCAAAAAGTTACAAAACGAAAATAGCAAAGCTTTGTAAAATTATACTTGCATAAAAGAATATTAAAGGCGAAATTCTTGTTAATGTGAAAAAGCAAAATAACTCTTCTTAAGTACATAAAAGATAAAAGAAAATATAAAAGAAAAAATAATTAAATCCTATGGTCAAAGATATACAATGTTTAAGAAACACTGTTGTATTTAAGCAAAAAATATATAGATTAGTAATGCCCACAATTTGAAATCCCTTTTATCCATGCACTTTTTAGTTTTATGAATCAAAGTCGGGAATACAATTCAAACTAAACTCAAAGTAACTCAGACATACTGTGGATTACAATCAAAAGAAAACCGAAAAAATATCATTTAAATGTTCCAACTGAAAATGATCATAGGCTGAAATTAAACTAGGTTACAGTGTCATCAAACTACGCTCAAAATCTCTTTTTAGTGAGTACATTATAATATTTTTTTATTTTATTATGTAACCAAAATATGAGTTCTATTCTACTGACAGTGCCTAAGTTTTAAGTTGAATCTTGTTTATATATTTCATTTTATTGCGATCTGATTTTGGGCTGTTTTAGCTTGTTTTGTTGGCTGTTAAATCCAATTCCTTTCATGAAATTAATGTGTGTGACCTACATGTAAATGTCATGACATCTTGTATGCCATCTAAGGAAACGGTTGTGAAAATAAGGATTACATTGTTAGACACTTAAATTCGGTTTTAATGTTAATTTGTAATCCCTGAGCCGAGGAAAGTTCTGAAATAAAGTGGTGACAGTTGAAAAATGCTAGAATAAGAACATATGTTTGTTCAAGTATAGTTAGAAATATTTTTTTCAAACCTTTTCACACAGGTATGCTACGTTTTGTTGATGCCATTGTAAACAAGATCTAGTTAATCATGAAATGGTTTGAATCACTGCATCAGGCTAAGGTAACATACCACATTGTTCATTTAGGAAAGTTTGTATTCGCCTGGCCATTTTTCTTTAGCGCCTCCCATTCTATGTTATGTGTTAAATCCAGGGGGTTTGTATACAGAAGTATGGTTTAGCTTGAGCTGGAATCTTATCTCCCTATGAGTGTGTAATGAGAATTATCACTGACACAATTATTTTAGGATTGTAGGATACCACACTAGGAGTCTGATTAGACCAAAAGTTCATTTTCGACACAATTCTTTCTGGGTTTACTGAGTGCAGTCGATTTTTGTTGTTTTTTTCAATTCGATAGTCAGAAGTTATTAAGAAGCTAGTCAATTTGTACTGTAGCAGTGAGATACTAGCATCTAGTTGTGTGTGAAAATAAATATTTACTTTAACATTCATGTGAGAAAGAATATCAACGAAAACTGACAAATGCATTTCAGTAATTAGTGTTAAAAGACATTGTGTTAAGTATATTATATTTTTATCACTACATTCTTAATATATTCCCTTAAGGATTTTGGAGAATTGGAAGATTGTATGATAATTAGTATTTCAGCCACACTATATTCGTCATATCTGTTGCCGGACGACGCGTTTCTCTCAGTTCTGAGCTCTTCAGTCCGGCTTGGCAATAGATATGATGAATGAGGTGTGATTGAAATACTGTTATTATACATTTTTCTAATTCTTTAAAATCCCGAAGGGACTAAAATAAGAATGTAATATTAATAATATAATAGGTCTAATGCTAATGTTTTATTATAATCATGCTTCGCCAGCTTGGAAAAGGCGTACACACAATAACAATTGTTGATATCTGATATTCAATTGTTCTCCTGCTTCTGATAATGAGTGATGATTATCATGTAAGATATGTACAAAAGTAAAACAATATTCAGATGAATAATATGAATTTGTTTATCTTTCGTAACAGAAGCCTAGATAACCCAAATATACATATTTAAGTATATTTACGCACCTATAAATTGCAGAAAACGCATAAACATAAAGTAAATTATATCATTACATCAAACTATAGTAATTTAAAAAATAATTACTTAGAAACGTCAAAATAACGAAAATGATCAGAAGCAAAAAAAGCTGAGAAAAAATATAGAATAGCCAGTTTTATATTTAAATATCAAATATTGAAACATTATGATATACTGTACACAAATACTATTTGCTATAAAAAATGTAGTATCGAATACTATTTTTCACAATGCATGCGATAGTAAGCGGGAGATATTACTAATTGTTTTTTGTTTTGTTTTTAGTGTTAAGCACAAAGCTATATAAAACCCGATTTTTAGTGTTGTACCCCCCCCCCCCAGGCTTGCCGAGGTAATACAATGAAACTACACATTTGATTTGCATATAGATGCACACAACAGCTATAAACTAACCAACTGAAAGAAAATATGTTTTATTAGGTTTATTCTGCTTTTTAACTTTGCCTTTTTTGTGTTTATGATGAAATGTAGAAGCTGAGTTAAATAGTAATAAGTTTTAAAACAAACCTTTTTAAGGTTCATAAAACGACAAATGTATGAATATAAAAAATATAATTTAGAGTGCTATCTATCTCAAAGTAGTTTTTATATTGTTCAGTAAAATATTTCAAATGGATTTTCCTAATGCTTTGGATATGTTATAAACGAAAGACAATTAGAATTATACCAAATGTCTCTGATTAATTTAGTTACAAATCATAATTTCTTTAATGATCAAAAAAGTAGACAACCTTTATTATATATTATAATCAATAGGTTCATGAACTACATACATCTATACGGATTACAAAAACCATTGTAGTCGCTCTTGGATATTGTTGCAACAAAAGCTTTGGTATAACAAAAATATACTGAAAAGTTTTAACAGATGCTCTTTTTTTCTTTAATTTGCCTTTTTTTTTTCGAATCACTGATGAGAGGCGGAATCTTCCAAAATCGATTTCACTCAAAGTCTTATAGCAAATCCACAAATAGATTTGGCTTCTCGTTTTTTTTTGTTTTTTTTTCTCTCGTTAAAACTCACAATTATGGTGATAAGAAAAAGAAGAAGAATTTTAATAAACATTAATAAAGTAATTTTACAACAATAATCATGAATGATCGAAAATGAAATATTTTGTTAGAATTCAAATTAGCCAATGATAAGAAGATTAGGTAACGTTAATATTTATAGTTTGACATACTTATTTAAAATCAAGTTAGGCCTAATAAACTAAGTCTGAAAACGTAGTGGTTTACATAATTAACTAGAAAATGGACTCGCCCATCCCGTGAAATTTATTTTGTTGGCTTCATGGGTGCTACGGGACGGCGTGCGTCATTCGACATACAGTTCTACCGAATAAGAGCGATTGGCAAAGGTACCCGTGCTGCAAGCGGCATTAAACATCACATTGGGCAACAAAGTCATATTGTAAGAATGGAAATGGCCGCCAAACCGTTTATCCGATTACTAATCTAATTTAACAAGATTTGGGGGGAGTCAGTTTGAGCGCCTCCAACATGTCGCTGAAATATAGTTAAGATTACTCTTCACAACAAGTTGTAAAGTAAAAATAACAGAAAAACAGCTTTCCTTAATACATATAGATCACTAACTTGTATAATAATATTTATTTTAGACAACTTTCTAGCCTATGAGATGCAAATCTCAATCGAATTTTCATCAGTTGTTATTTCAATAAACCCAATAACTCTTACCTTTGTCAGTAACATTAATTAAGATTATTACACTGTTCTTTTCTTTGGTCTTTTTTTGATTCCAGGAAAGGTTTAGTCGAATTTCTTCCTCTTCTAGAATGTTCAAGTGTTTCGTGTCAGCCACGTAAATAATCCCTGTTCTAGGGGTCACTTCGAAAATATCTTCTTTTTCAGAGGTTAAATAAAATGACCAGTGATCAGATGGTTTGACTGGCATCGGCTGCAGGACCTGCGTTTAAAGATAATTATCAAATGCATGCAATTTAATGATAGCTGTGGCTAGTAAATTATCTTGCATTATTGACTTGAAATGCGGAACCTCTCATGCAAGTATACGAACAGGAAATTTCACTAAGAACGGACGGATTTGATTATTTTTATTACGTGTTTAAGAATAGTTTTTTATTTCTTCTTCAGCTGGTTTATTGTATTGTAACAAACAGCTTCGTGAATTATAAAACTAACTAAGCTTAATTAGTTTTGTTTATGTGGTATTTTATTTTGTTAACAACAATTATATTTTTCCTTGTTACGTATTACAATTTCGAATGATCTGAAACCGAGCTAAATGATAATTTAAATTCAGTAGTTAAATAAATGCCGATATGTATCCAATTTATTATATTTGCCAACAAGATTGAATCACACAGTTTCCTTTTTAATACAAATATGTTTTAATATATAAACAACAATAGAATTTACAATAACAGTTATTACAACAGTTTTACAAACTTACAAGCAATATACAGTCTTCTTTCTAGTCTGGAACTTCCTTGATGTCTTATCGAGGGTTCACGATGAGCGAGTTAATTTTGAGTTGATGTAGATACAATTCACTTAATAAGGAGCTATCTAGCTCTGTGAAATTCACTGATCACACGCCGATTTTTCCTACCGGTGGCGTTAGATAATGTTTTCGTACAAGTTTTCCAATTAATAAGCGTTAATCACAATCATAGCCTTCGAGGTTTATAGTATACGAACTATAGCAAACCAAGAACAGATACTGTTTTTTTGGCGCGTTGGTTATATTTATACGCGTGTGGAGAGTTTCTCGAAATTTCAGTTTTAAGGAACAATACTGGCGCTAACACTAGCATTTACATATATTTTTGGTTCTTACACTCGAGAATCTTCTACAATTTTAGAGAACAGGCTGGAGTTTCACAATACAGGTTTAACAGTTTAAGTTATGCACATTTATAAATTAATCTAAACAAACATCGATATTGAAATAAATATATAATAATAAATCCGTCACATCCTCAAATCATTATTATGAGATTCTTGTCTTACTACAGTCTTTTCGACTAAATGGCAATGTTACTAATGGCACTCCGTCCTTCATTTTACCATACTTAAAAGTCTCTAACCAGCTTAAAACTACTACTACTACTATGTTTTTTCTAATGAAACAATGAAGTGAAGATTGGAAGTAATTGCACTCAAAAAAGTGATGGTTGTTCGAGAGAACCTAAGCAAAACTTAAAATAATATATAAAAGTTTTGCTTTACGCAATGTTTGGTCTATTTTTTCTTTCAAATGGTTTGGATAAAATTATCTCCATATATCACAGAGAAACTAAGTACTACCAAAGATAATTGTGGTATTTCATTGCAACCTACATAACCAGAATCACATTGGAAATCCATCAAAAGTAAAGTTAGTTTCGAAATACTCCCCTTCACCTCTCACCCCACAACACATCAGTGGCTCAGTGGTAAGTCTGAAGGCTTATAACGCTAAAAACCGGCTTTTGATATCCATGGCGGGCACATCACAGATGCCCATTGTGTAGCCTTATGTTTCACAATAACAAACAAACATAAGTTTTGAAAGAGTAAAAGCTAAGCCACAGCATGCAAGCTTTGCAATCTTCGGCATCATGTCAAATATAGTTTAATGTTTCAAAAATTGTAAAAAAGTAAACCTTAATTCAGCTAATAAATACCTTCATTCAAATACATGTATAAACTGACAAGAATATCACAGCTGTAGATGTAGTAAAAAAATCTACAACAGAAGTAAAAATAGGCAATTAATGCTAATCCCATTTTAAATTGTTGTGATGATAAGTAATCCATACGGTTATATAATCTAATTATTACTTATTTACTGTTTTGTAGTAGTAGTAGTAGTAGTAGTACTAACGGTCCATATCAGAAAACAGATACAACACACAATACACACTTTATCAAGATACGTCCAGCTATCCAAACCTCATATCAACAAACACACACAATTAGATTTTAAAAATAAGGAACCTTCTAACAAAGCGTACATTTATATGCTTAAGTAAACGACCATTAACAGAGCAAGAATAAAATTATACTAACGAAAGGACTAAACTTTACCCTAACAAAGTATCCACTCCAGATGTTGCTCCAAACAAAAAAGAAAAAGGAAATGCCGGATTCAAAAGCGAAATAAAGTCGTCAGTCCAGAAAGCCATGAAATGTAAACTCTAATACAGTACCATTCTAACAGAAAAGCTGCCCTTTGGAACTTCAAGAAGAGAACACCATAACATTTCGAACAGCAGACAAAGGTAATACCACTCTAACAATGGCCACTACAAGAAGATCACGTCTAACCCCACCTTCAACACAGAGAATATAAATTCCTCAAAAAAAATCAGAAGGAAATGGAGGAGAAAGAATCAAATAACTAACACTATACAACAGCATCAACACACACACATTTGTGGACTACCTAAAATTCGCAAGCAAGGCTACCCTCTACGCCACAGAAAACTGATTTAATATGCCAACATTTAGCTAAATATTTTAAAGAAATACTATTGCCATCAACAAATAAAATAATCCGCTTCACCTTTTAGAGGATATAATAATAATAATAGCGATAATCTCACAATACACAATGATCAGATTCGATGTATCCAACCATTTCACTATTGAACAAGCCCTTAAAACACTGTACACACTCTGCCAACAGCTTGAAAATGATAGAACTCTCAATATAAACATCAATATAACTTACTTCCAACATGAATAATGAAGGAAACATACTATAAAAATGCAATAAGGCCTAGTCAAGGACTCACCCCAATCACCGGTACCCAGTAACCTATACATGGAACGTTTAGGAGATCACATCACCCAAACAACCGTTCTAGTCCCGGTATTTGGCTGAAGTATTTTGACGTTGTATTTGTAATACGGCCACGTACTCTAGAAAATATTACAGAATTCTTGAAGCACCTGTACAGTAAGCATCCTAAGGTATAATTCATAATGGAAAAAGCAGAATATTACAAAATTATATTTATAGACATGATGGTTATTTAAATATATACCACAGAAATTTACAATAAACGAAAAGACACTGAAAAATACCTCGATTGTAAATCGAACTACCCATAGTATTGTAAACACGGATGCCATAAGCTGCCCCTGGTGTCCGGAAAAAGCAATATTTGTAATACAGAAGATGCTAAGAAGCAAGAGAACAACCCGTTTGACACTGTATTCCCTGAATACTTGCTAAGGAAGAAAATAAAAATAAAAACCAAGAATGAGCAGAAAGAAAATTACAACACTCAGCCATTTTCCCGTCTGTCAAAGATCTCTCTTAAAAGTACAAAAGATATGTAAACAGTAAAAAAGTCAGCAATGTATTCAAAAACCACAACACAATACGATTGTAGTTAATACCAAACCAACAAGAGACCTATGGAGAGAATAAAAAACATCATTTGCAAAATTCCTTGTGAATAGTGATTACAATATATTGCAAAACATAAGAACGAAAGCTGGAATTCAGAAGCATAACATATATGTAAGACTCTAAAATATCAATTTATCTGCAATAACCCATCATGTCAGAGAAGAACATACAACCACACAACAGAATGAAATAATATAGAAAAAGCTGGATACTAACTACACACCTAACTGATCACACAGTCAATATAGCATAGAAGTCATCAAAACTTGGATAACTTGTTGAAATAATTGAAATAAGATATTGATTCAAGTACTACTGAAGGAAATCCCTCATGAGTGGATAACACATCATACTTTTCATCAGCGGATCGAATCCCGACCATTGCCTAAACAGAAACCAGTTCTTCTCAGAAATCCCCTAAAGACGACAGCAAATCAGCAGCCGAAACGTGGGATATAAACTAGATAGTATGTAGTAATAGAATTAGTAGCTTATTATTAATTAGACTAACGTGATCTTATAGGTTACTAACCATGACAACATTTAATATCCAATCTCTACAAGCTTTCTCTAAGTACAAATTTTACATATTTATATAACTTTCGAAGTTCAGTGTAATCCACCAGAAGAGAAATGACTCACTTCATACATCTCGTTAAACTCGTCACCATAGCAGCACTCGTGTATCAGAATTTTACGTTCTATACAAAGATCTCAGGCATTAATAAAAAGATAATGTTTGCAGGAGTGTATTTTTTATTTTTCTTTGAGGAGAGGGGTAAGTAGAAGCAATATTATTATTCATCTTTATTTAGAACAGCAAAAATTTCTTGTCTCATTATCATGTGACATATTTTAATTCTGTTGTTTTTTATATAAGGTATAGTGTTTTTGTTTTTTTAGGAGACCAAGTTTGAGAAGTAGCAGTAGTGAATATTAGATCCCTATTTTATCATGATGCGATCTGCATACCACATAGTACCTAATGTTTTTTCGAATCGTTAATATATTGGAAAAAACAATAATAACAGGAGTTATTGTAAGTGAACTTGTTTTTGTATTAGCTCATCCGACGAATGAAGAGAAAACAAATTATTAAGAGCTCTGGTTTCCCAAAGTCGCATGAATTGTCAACTAAGATAAAACGTTAACAGAAAAATGAGTGTTCTACATTTGCTTGATCTTCTTAAACTTATAACAAAGTAAAAAACAAACAAACAACAACACAGCAACAAGGATTTACAAAGTAGAAAGAAAAAAGTAAAATACTACGTAATCACTTTGACTCCTTAACAAAGTAGAGAAAGAACCAAGCAAACAAGTGATATACTTTTTCTATGTCTGTTTATTTCTGATTCTCACAACAGCCTGTATGTTTCACAATTTCGATAAAGCTACGCAAGCTTTTTGTGCACAGCCGTCCATGATTTTTAATCGATAGACGAGGTGAGGCAGCTGGTCATCAGCACCCATTACCAACATTTGGGCTACTACTAATTGAGCTAATAGTAGGATTTGACTATCACTATTATAGCGCACCCACAGCCCCAATGTGCGTTGCGCGTTTTTGAAGCAACGGGTCCTAAACCATCAATCTTTGAATCATAGTCCGGGCACAATAACCTCTATGCCACGTTTGACCTCATCAACAAATTAGAAAGAAAAAACTTTCCGGTCTTCCATGTGTAGTTGAAAAAAAAAGTAGAAAGAGACATATGAATAATGAATCTTGATGTCTCACATTTACTTGGTTTCCTGGAGTTCTCAATAAACTAAATTTGTTTTGAATTTTTCGCAAAGCTACACGAGGGCTATCTGCGCTAGCCGTTCCTAATTTAGCAGTAAAAGATCAGAGGAAAGGCAGCTAGTCGTCACCGACAACTCTTGGGCTACCTTTTTACAAACGAATAGTGGGATTGACAGTAACATTATAACGCCTTCACGGCTGAAAGGGCGAGCTCGTTTGGTGTGACGAGGATTCGAATCCGCGACCCTCAGATTGCGAGTCAAGTGCCCTAACCACCCCAATAAAGTAAAGGAATGTAAATAAAACGTTCTAATATACTATTCTTAGATATATTAGTTTCTTTCAAATCCTCAACAAAATATCTCTGCCCCCCCCCCATCTATGTTTCTCATGGGATCCTCAACAAAGCAAAGAGAAACAAATCACTGGTTTCTCGATTTTATTTGTTCGTTTTGTATCTTTAATCGACTGGAAAAAAATATTACAAAATTATCTGGTTAAGCTACACTTGCTTACTCTGCTCTAATCATAAACATAAGTAAACAAAAAACTCAAGAACATTTTACAGTATTCCCATGTCTTTTCTTTTTCCCAAGAAACGAAAATTAATACAAGTCAATTTCTGGTCCCGTAATTTTTTGTTTTTCTCATTATCACTAATCAAAGAGAGAGAAAATATATCAAGAAGTTGTAAAGTGTCTTTGGTCTGCGTATGTCTTAGAATTGATGACAAGGTGAAGAGAAAATCAAGATATAAAGCATTCTAGGCTCTTATAATAGTTTTTGTCCTCGAAACTTTACTCTTGCAAGAAGAAGAAAAAACGATTTGCGCTATATTTACCCTAAACATGTTTCTTGTCTAGCAAACTTCGTTCGTTTGTTTTTGAAATTTCGCGCAAAGCTACTCGAAGGCTATCTATACAAGCCGTCCCTAATTTTGAAGAAATAGACTAGAAAGAATGCAACTTGTCAACATCACCATTATAAACTCTTGGACTACTTTTTACCAACGAAAAGTGAGATTGACCATCATATTATAACGCCCCGAGCATGTTCGGTAACGGGATTCGAACTCGCAACCCGTGGGTTGCGAGTCGAGTACCATAACCACCAGGCCATGTCAGGCTCAGGAAAGTTCGAAAGTGAGTTCAAAAAATGAAAAATTGCTTTAATGTGTGAACTTATATATATGTGTAATAGCTATGTTATGCGTGTACTTTAGTATCAGGATCTTTAAAATTTTTCAACAAGATTAACAGTCAGATGTACTTTATTTCGAAAGATAAGTTTTACGTTGTTAAAACGCGTTAGTTATTATTAGATTTATGTTTGGCTTTTGACATTTATTTAACACGTAACACACTTATGATATCCGTGCACATTATCTTTTAATTGATAAACAACTCTTACAAATAAATGTATATTAACTATTAAAGTTCGTTTCCAGGTGACTTTGATATTGATTCTGAGACAAGTTGGTTGTTTTGAATTTTCGCGCAAAACTACACGAGGGCTATCTGCGCTAGCCGTCCCTAATTTAGCAGTGTAAGACTAGAGGGAAGGCAGGGAGTCATCACCACCCACCGCCAACTC